GCAGTTTGGGACCACAATAGCGGTCACTAGAACTGCTATTATTTACAGTGGCTCGCAGGCCAAAAGCGGCACGCCAAAGCTTGCCATTGCTACGCTATTCTGCTATAGTACGCAATTGACAACATAGGTTAATATATTGCAAACAATACACTTTTCTATTGTAGTTGGTTCCCCTTCTTGCTTTGATGTCAAGTAAACGTTCAAATCCATATAAATTGAGGCTCTATATATTTTTACTCAAACGTAGTGTTTTAATCAGTTATAATTCAAGCTCATCAATAGGGAAAAAGAAAATGTAAAAGTAACATTCTCAATTAATCTATGACAAAAATTATTCCAAAGTGTTGTTTTTTCCCCCTTAATGTTAGTATAAATATTTGATTGTTTCTCTTTTAACTCTCATATCTTAAAAATTTATGTTATATTTAAAAAAGTAATACACCCCAACATATATCCGAACATCACACGAGTTCACGCTCTAGTTATAAGCAAATAAATGCTGTCTTGGTGCAGAAACGAATGCACTCTCTGTCATGAAATTTGGCTTGATGCCTTTCTCATTGCCTTTCATACTATATATAATAGTGTCGGTAATTACAACTCATAATAACTAATTACAATTCATAATGACTAATTTCCTATTCTATGAATGTAAATTATTCACAATAACTGCAAAGATTATTTCCTAATTAACATCCCCCCTCAAATTGATGCGGCTGGTCAAGGAGCATCAATTTGCTAACAAGAAACTGATGTCTTGGGCGTGGAACAGCCTTGGTAAGAATATCTGCAACCTGCAACTACGTACTGACGTGAGGAAGTGATATTATTCGATCATCGTAGGCGTCACGTATTGAATGACAATCAACTTCGATATGTTTGGTGCGTTCATGAAAAACAGGATTTGCAACAATTTGGATGGCACTTGTATTGTCAGCATAAATTGAAGTTGACTCTGTTTGGGGAAATCCAAGTTCAGCCAAAAGACCACGAAGCCAAAGTATTTTTGAACACGCAGCAGACATGGCACGATACTCTGATTCAGTAGAAGATTTAGAAACTCTTGCTTGCTTCTTACTTTTCCAAGAGATCAATGAAGAACCAAGAAACATACACCAACCAATAACAGATCGACGAGTATCAGGACACCCTGCCCAATCAGCATCACTATAAGCGCTCAACTGAAGAGAAGTTCCAACGGAAAAGAATAATCTGCGGTGAGAGGTTCCTTTCAAGTAGCGAATTATACGACGAACTGCAGCCAAGTGAAGATGGCGAGGAGAATGCATGAATTGACTTACTTGTTGAACAGCAAAAGATATGTCAGGGCGAGTAATAGTCAAGTAGTTGAGGCTACCCACAAGTTGTCGATACAATAAGGGATCCGGCAACAGATCCCCATCATCACGATGATATTTAACATTAACCTCAAGAGGAGTATCTACTGGATTAGCCGATTCAAGACCGGCCATAGAAATCAAATCTGTAGCATACTTGTGTTGATGGAGAAAGATGCCCTTGGATGTAGAATGAACCTCAAGACCAAGAAAATAATGTAGATTACCCAGATCTTTCATATGAAATGAGGCCTGTAACTGTTGCTTAAGTCGCTGAATGGAAGCATGATCCGAACCAGTAATAACCATATCATCAACATACAAAAGAAGCAGAACAATACCCGCAGATGTGCTATGAATAAATAAAGATGAATCATACTGACTCTGAGTAAAGGAGAATCCAAGTATAGTGGAGCGGAATTTCTCGTAGCATGCTCGAGGTGCCTGTTTCAAACCATATAAGGAGCGTTTGAGCTTACACACGCCTTTAGATGAAGAGAATAAGCCTTGAGGTGGAGTCATATAAATATCTTCTGTCAGGTCACCATGAAGAAAAGCATTCTTCACATCCATTTGATGAAGAGTCCACCCATTAGAAGCAGCTATAGACATGATTGTGCGGACAGTTGTCATTTTGGCAACCGGTGCAAATGTCTCATCATAATCAATTCCATATTCCTGCTTGTTTCCTAACGCAACCAAACGAGCCTTGTAACGGTTGAGGGACCCATCAGAATTCAGTTTCACATAATACACCCATTTGTAACCTATAGGTTTTACATTTGGAGGACAAGTGACGATATCCCATGTGAAATTCTCTTGAAGAGCTTGGAGCTCTTCAGTCATTGCTTTTATCCATCGCACATCTTTAACAGCCTGTGAGTAACAAGTAGGAATAGATATGCTAGAGAGTGTGGCAGTCAGAGAAGTATGTGAGGAATCATACCTGTCTGGTGAATATCTATCTGGTGCGCGGGATATTCTACCAGAACGTCGTGGTTCAACCGGTACAGGATCAGGTGGCAGTTCAGCATCGGGAAGGGGTGTGGGAACCTGTTGTCTGTGTTTTCTGACATATACATGACCTGGTTTATAACGTTCTATAGCTTGAGGCATAATAGAAAACTTAGGAAGAGTAACAATATCATTAATGGCAGGAGAACCACAGGGAAACATAAACTGATTATCAAAAAATGTCACATTTCTAGAAATGCGAAAACGATGGTTAGAGACATCATAACACACAAATCCCTTATGAGAGTTACTATATCCCATAAATGCATATTGAACGGATTGTGCTCCAAACTTATGCCTTTCAAAAGGAGGTAAGTGAACAAAACACACACACCCAAAAGTATGTAAAGCACTATAATCAGGATGAATTTTAAATAGACGGAAGAAAGGAGAATCAAGATCAATAACTGTAGAAGGAATACGATTGATCAAGAATGTAAATTGTGCAAGTTATTACAATTAGCATGTATAATAGCAGAGTGTTCTGCCCAAAGATTCAAAAAACCATAATAGTATTCTTGAATAGACAAATCACCTTGTTTGTAGTTGGCGATGTCTAACTCCAACTGAAAACGTAAATTGTGCAAGTTACAGATGAACCTGTCATGTGATTGGATGCACCAGAATCAATAAACCATGGACGAGAAACATGAGAAGACTTACCCTTAATACCCAAGGCTGAAAGGGCAGAAAGTACCATGTGTTGAATCATTTCAGGTTGTAGAGCATTGCCATCTGATGCACCAGTGGTGGAAGAGCCAATTGTATGGCCTGTAGTGGCATGAAATGCCTTCACCGAATGATGTGCTAGTCGTGGAGGACGCGTGGGACAGTCAGAAATGATATGACCTTGTTGTTTGCAATAATTACAAAACTTCTTACTGCAGCTACGAGCAATATGTCCAAACTGTTTGCAAGAAAAACATTGGACATGTTGCATATCACGACCTTTATTTCTACTTTGAGCAGCATATGCAATTGCCACAAGCTCAGAACTGACAGTATCATGAGACATGGTTCTTTGAGTAAGGAAACGTTGTTCCTCCCTGAGAAGTTCACCAACACATGTATCCAAAGAAGGAACAGGATTCCTATTTAGCAAAGCACCTCTGACAACCTCAAATTCTAGACGAAGCTTCATGAGGAATTGATCTCGCCTACTTGTGTTGTAGACCTCTTGAACAGCCGCAAGAGAGGTCTTGGGAACATTAGCATGTATAATAGCAGAGTGTTCTGCCCAAAGATTCAAAAAACTATAATAGTATTCTTGAATAGACAAATCACCTTGTTTGTAGTTGGCGATGTCTAACTCCAACTGAAAACGTTTTGCCGAATTGTCCTGGTTGTAAATGCGCTTCAGATAATTCCACATTTCTTGAGCAGTTGAAAAAGAACGCAAATTATTTATCATCTGAGGATCAATACTGTTTAGAATCCAAGTGATAATTTGAGCATCTTTAGTTTCCCACGCATCTAAAGCAGTTTTCTCCGTTGGTGCCTTAGAAACATCATCTAAGTGACTCCATAATCCCTTTCCTTTAACATACATCTTGAACTGAAATTCCCATGCCGAATAATTCTTGCCGGTAAAACGAACACAAAAATTATCTCTTTCTTTTTCGGAAGCCATCTAAATTATTAAACCACCAGATACAATCTCACTAATATTATTTTATTATTATTATAATAATAATAATAATAATAATAATAATAATAATAATAATAATAATAATAATAATAATAATAATAATAATAATAATAATAATAACTATAATATTATAATATAATAACAGTACCTGTAATCACAGTTACTATAGCAGCAACAAGAAACAATACCCACGAACCAACGAACAACAGCACGATCAAATCCACGATTTGGAAGGAGCGGCAAAACAGAAGATTATGACGATCCAGAATCACGAAGCAACAACAGCCAAGAACCAAAAAAAATTGATTGCAATATCAGCGCAACAACGAGAATCTCCAAGACGAAATCACGAACCGGCAACCAAAGATTTAGAATCTCAGACAGCTGCAAGGTTTCGATTTCAAACGAAAGAATTTTGAAACGAACACGATTACGAGAGCGAACCAGTGGGGTATCGCTGATCAGCCAATATAATAATATTTTCCAGGTTTGATCGAACCTACTGATAGTCTGATACCATGTCATGAAATTTGGCTTGATGCCTTTCTCATTGTCTTTCATACTATATATAATAGTGTCGGTAATTACAACTCATAATAACTAATTACAATTCATAATGACTAATTTCCTATTCTATGAATGTAAATTATTCACAATAACTGCAAAGATTATTTTCTAATTAACACTCTCTTCTGTCTTTGAATTTAAGAAGTACACTTTTCTCCAAAATATGAGAAGTTATTTGGCCCTTCAGGGCCTAAGCAACGTAGTTTCCCCAAACACCCAGACCTTCTATGCTTCTGTTGAGATATATAAGTATAACTCTTTTTTTTTCTTTTTCCAGTTGTCAGGATCAATTTAACAGAAAAATATATAAAACAAACTAATAAAAGGACAAAAGGACATTACCTGGTTAAGTGAAAGTGGTTCAAGAAAGTGAATACTTGCCAGTGGCAGTGGGTGATTATAACCAGACCCAGTTGTCTGCTTTTGGCTTTTTCTTACCAGAAATCCTGACAATTGCAGATTCCGTTCTTAAAATGATGAAATCGACTTGCATCTCTAACTGTTATCTCCCTTTCTGTTAAGATAGTAATTAATTTTATTGCAGAGTGGCAGTCAACACAAATCCGCAGATTTTTCGTAACTAGAATGTGGTTGTTGGGACTAGTATTTAGAATTCCAAATGCAATGGCTATTTTTTCACTATGATAAAGGAGAATCTGCTCCTTCTCCTCTTCTTCAACATCATGAAGAACAAAACTAGAATCTGCACGATATCCCAATTTTTTCATCTGCACCAGCAGTTCCTGCAACTTGTTATTTATGGATGCTGATTGGGGATGAGATTGATGGCCCCCAATAAATGCATGGATTACCCCAGAGATCTCAATCCAACTGCATCCCGGGCTTTTCTTGTAACCACGATGCCTTTGTATGCTTCTAATATGGGCTGCATCGTCCCATCTTCCAATAGAACTATATATGTTTGACATAAGAACAAAATTTCCAGTACCTTCAGGTCCCAGCAGCTGGATCTTCTTTGACACTTCTTCACCAATTTCAATATTTTTGTGGGTCCTACATGCAGCAAGCAATGCACCCCAAACACGAACATCAGGCACAAATGGCATCCTTTGAATGAAGGTGTATGCTTCATCCAAATTTCCCGCTCGGGCCAGAAGGTCAACCATGCATATATAATGTGCCATCCTTGGTTTGATGTTGAAGTCTTGGCTCATGGAACTGAACCAATGTTTCCCTTCTGTGACAAGTCCCGAATGGCTACATGCAGATAAAACAGCAATAAGGGTCACATCATCAGGTTTCAAGCCTGATACCTGTAATTCATGGAATAGTGAAAGTGCTTCTATGCATAGCCCATGAATACCATAACCAATTATCATTGTATTCCATGAAATAATGTCCTTATCTTGCATCCTATAAAAAATCTCCCTACTGACAGTAATCTTTCCACACTTTGAGTACATGTCAATAATGGCGTTGCAAATGGAGGTGTCATTAGTGAAGCCACGAACAACTGCATATCCATGGCAGCAGATCCCGTGTTGTAGAGCGGCCAAATGTGAACAAGCTGGAAGTAGAGCTATCATGGTTGCCAAATGTGGTTCAATCCCAACTGACTGCATCTGGCGAAAAATAGGTAAAGCTTTCTCTGCATAGCCATTTTGCACACATCCTGAAATAATAGAACTATAAGAAACCGAGTCTTTTGCAATCATTTCATCAAGAAACCCCACTGAATCGTCCATATGGCCACACTTGGCATACATTGATATCAGCGAGTTGCCTACAGTTGTATCTAGGTGTATCCCTGACTTAATCATATGACAATGCAAGAATTTTCCCCTTTTCAGATCAGTGAGTTGTGCACAGGCTCTAAGCATGGTTGCAAGAATGACTGGCGTGGGGTTCAAGCCGTATATACATACCATGTCATCATAAAGATCCAACGCATCTGTCATGCAATCATGAAGTACATAACCTCCAATCATAGCACTCCAACATATCTCATTTTTCTTATTGACGGTGTTGAATATTTTCCTGGCATAAGATAATAGATGGCACTTAGCATACATATCCAAAAGTGCAGTTTGGAGAATGACACTGTCAGAAAAGGATTTCTTGAGAGAGTGTGCGTGAATAGCCTTCCCCTGGAGTAGTGCATTAGCTTGTCCAATTGTGGGTAGAATAGATACAAGAGTTGAAGAATTAGGAGCAATCCCGGCTTGCTGCATTTGGGTAACCAAGTGCAGTGTTTGAGTGGGAAATGCGTGAAATGAAAAGGCGGTGATCATGGCATTCCATGCGACAACATCCCTATCCCCGTGGGACATAGTATTAAATAGTGTTTGTGCTTGAAACAAATTGCCACACTTAGCATACATGTCAAGCAAAGCAGTAGAAACATAGATATCCATTGTGAGACCAAGTATGTGGGCATGGCTATGTATAAGTCTCCCAAGTTGTAAGTCTTGTAGAGCGGAACAGGCTTTGAGAAGAAAAGGGAAGGTGAACTTGGTGGGCGTAACGCTGAGTTGCAACATTTGATGGTACAAATGAATGGATTGTTGAAATGGGCCAGCCCAAGCATAAGCTCGGATCATCATGTTCCACAAAACAACAGTTGGTTTAGGAATTTGGTCGAACACACGACGGGCAAGTTTGATTTCATTGCGTGAGATATGGTAACGGGCAATAGCATCAGCATCAGAAGATGTGGTAATGTGATAATTGATTAGGAGGAACGAAAGTTGTTGACGTTTCAAACGTCTTGTCATCTTTGGTAGAATGAAAAGAGTATGCATTTTAGTTGAAGTGTAAGTGTCGCTATTATGATTGCGTTACACTTTTACAAATTACACCACACCACTCACCACAATAATTATGGAAATGGAAATTATACATTGCTACCTACGCCTACAATAATTATGGAAATGGAAATTATACACCAATTGCTACCTACGCCTCTTCTCTCTATGTTTTACAGAAATGCTCCGCGTTCTCTTTAATTTTATCTAACATATTTGAGATACTATTTTAATTTTTAAATATATTTTGTTTTCTTCCAGCTTCCACAACATTCAATCTTTTTATTTAAAAAGAGAAGGCTTAATTGCAATTTTGGTTTTTGAGTTTTAACCCTCTTATTTTAAAATTTTGAATTTTTGTTCTTTTATTTTCAATTTTTTTGAATTTTGACCCCCTATTTTAAAATTCAAATTTTTGATACCTCTATTTTCTTTTTTTAGTTTGGGTTTTCTATTTTAAGTTTTGTTTTGAATTTTAATCCCTTTTGTAATTGGGAACAAATTTAATAGGGGACCAAAAGTTTAAACAAATGAAAATAAGATGATCAAAACTCACAAAAAATGAAAATAGAGGAACAAAAATTTTAAATTTTATAATAGGGGAACCAAAACTCAAAAAAACTGAAAACAAAGGAACAAAAAATTCGGATTTTAAAATAGGGGATCAAAACTATAAAAAAAATAAAAATAGAGGGACCAAAATTTCAAATAAGACAAAAGAGAAATAATATATAGAAAATAAAAAACAAAAACAAAATTCTTCATTCCTGTCAAAAACGGACATTTCAAATCGTTATTGTTTCACACAAAAAAATGAGACATTTACGGTTTGTTTGGTTCAATCGAGGGGAGAGATTTTTTTCAAGAGAAGAGGAGGGGAGGAGAGTGGAGGAATTTTAATTACATATATGTTTGATTCAAAATATGAAAGGGGAGGAGAGACATTTTATTTATAAATATGTTTGATTCATAAGGGAAGTAGAGATATTTTAAAACTAATTTACTTTTTTATCATTCTACTTTTACCATAAGACTTGTGATATTTACCGTTTATAATTCAAATACAATTTTATTGACGAAATATAAATATTCAATAAGAGATCATCATGAAATATTTTATAAAAACGCAACGATTATAATATATAATTGGCTAAATTACAGTTTTGATCCCCCTATTTATTATAAACAAAAACATTACGATAACTAAAATTAACATTAAAATATGAAAAATAAAATAAAAAGTTTAAACAGATACAATGATAATAAGATGAAGATATAAAAATACAAAAAATATAAAAAGAAAGATTAAATTTGTTCAAAATAAAACTTTTAATATTGTTATAAGTTAAATTTATATTTAAATAAATAATAAGGGTAAATATGTAAATATAATTATAATTAAAATCAAACACCTCTCATTCCCTCCGAATCCCTCCAAATTGAGGGAAGCAAAAAGTGGTTCATGGGAGATTTTGGTCCCATCCATCTACCTCCCCTCCCTCTCTTAAAATTTGAACCAAACACATAAATTATTAAATATTCCCTCCCCTCCATTTACCACCAACCAAACAGATCCTTAGGTTACTCAAAGAATATACAAGAGTAGTTAGAAGACTTCCCAAGTGACAGGATTGGATTTTTCAGTTGCTCATGTTATAAATTCGTGAATAATTTAAGGATATGTTGGTTGGGGGTAAATGGATGGGAGGATTTAGGAGAGATAATATTTAATAATTTATGTGTTTGGTTCAAATTTTAAGAAGGGGAGGGGAGGTAGATGGAGGGGACCAAAATCTCTCTTGAACTACTTTTTTCTTTCCTCTGGATTGAGGAATTTGGAGGAGAGGAGAATATTTAAACTTAGAGTTGAATCCTGGGATGTAGAATTCTTTGAAAACTTTATTACTAAGGATAAAGAATTTGAGTCTCCCGCAAATAAAGAATTTTGTGATGAAGATTCTTGGAGTATCGAGATACAACTCGAAAGTACTTTTCGGATCATTGAAACACAACCCGGGTCTATGATAAGGAAGAGAATCCGAAAAACAAATTATTTACGACCAAACAAAATTGATTCTCAACTTATTTCTTTTTTATCTAGTTGAAGGAAATTGTGAGAATTATGTTAGGCATATTCCTATTTTTCTTCAAGTAGAATATGATCCTAAAACTTACAAGGAAGCAGTGGCTTCAAGAGACTCTTCCTTTTGGAAGGTTGTTATCCAAGATGAAATAGATTCTATCATATCAAATCACACTTGGAAACTTGTTGACTTACCAAAGGGATCAAGGTTCATTGAATACAAGTGGGTGTTTAAAAAGAAGTATCATAGTGACGGTACATTAAACACATATAAGGAAAGATTGATAGCAAAGGAATTTAGACAAAAAAAATGTGTTGATTACTTTGACACATATGCACCAGTGACAAGAACAACGCAATTAGAGTATTGTTCGCATTAGCCTCATTGAATGACCTTATAGTTTAGCAAATGAATGTTAAAACAATATTCTTAAATGGAGATCTCAATGAAGAAATCTACATGGAACAACCAGAAGGCTACATGCTTCCTAGAAATGAACAAAAGGTGTGTAAGCTTGTCAAATCCCTATATGGACTCAAACAAGCACCAAGACAATGGCATCAAAAATTTCATTATGTCATACTTTTAGATAATTTTACTCCTAATTCTTGTGACAAGTTTTTATACAAAAAGGTACAATTTTTTTTTGTAATATTCATTTGTCTATACGTTGATGACATGTTGATAATTAACAACAACATGGATGGAATTTTAGAGACAAAAAGGTTTCTAACTTTCACATTCAATGTGAAAGATCTTAGATTAGTTAGCACAATTTTAGGGATCAAAGTAAAAAGAAATAATGGGGGTTAAGAACTTATTCAAACACGTCATATTGAAAAAAAATACTTGATAAGTTCAAAAACCTAAACTTTAAGGAAGTAACCACTCCATTTGATCATGTCGTCAAACTTCAAAAGAACAATGGAACAGCAGTGGCTCAATTGGAGTATGTGTCGCGGTGAGAATCGAATATCAAGCTATTGATTAACTTGAATCACAAATCTTAATTCACCACTGATCTTTAATTTATCCAAAGAAAGGGAAAAAGAACGAATAACCCATAAAAAATGCTATGCAATGCAAAAGCAAAAGAGAATCTAAGGTTCGGGGGTTGGTTATACCTAGGGAATATGCTAGTATCCTAAGTATTTGTAGTACTCTACAGGAAACTCTTGTTTTATTGTGTTATTTATCATTTTGTTTGCTAAAGGGTGAAAAGGTGAAGGAAGACCTAAGGTGTTATTCTTGAGTATGCTCGTCAAGACATTGCATCTCGTGCCTACGTATCCTGACAGGAATGGAATCAAAGCATTCGTAGTTTTCCTCAATAAGGGTGAGGAACTCTTGACTATGGTCAAAGTTACAGGAGGGAGAGGTAAGTGTCTATGACATAACACCTACATAGAGTTAAGAAACTCTAAACCTAAGGCTAGGTTGAAAGGGAGGTAAGTGTTTTTATTAAGTTTTATGAAACAGATTAGAAATATGATTAAAGTATTTTTGTATTTTTTTTAGGAAAGACATTTTAGTTTTAAATGAAACGGAAAGTCTAACTTAAATCTAAGGACCTAAAATTAAGATTTAAGGAAAGATTTATTCTAGAAGCTATCGTGCAACAGATTGGTTCTGTTCCAGCCTGGGCCCCACCTCGGTCCAGCCCAATACCTCGCACGGCCCAACAAGCGAATTGGCCATGCCGGGCACACGCGCCCCGCTGGACGGGCGGAACGCACCACCGGGCATGGGCGACGCATCCCACAGCCTCTCGCCGTCCCCTCTTATCAGCCGAGCAGGACGCGCCCCAGCGCATCGAAACGAGGCCTTGGTTCCTCCCCTCCGCGGGGAGAACAACCTGCTTCCAGGGAACCTCCCGAGCTCCCCTCCGCAGGGAGAACAACGTGCCCGGCGCACGTTCTCCACGTGCTCCCCTCCGCGGGGACACGTCATCAACCAACTGCCCACCTCCGAAAGAGCAGGTCAAATCCACTTTCCGGAGATCAAGGAGCAGTTAGACTAGGGCGAAGACCACGTCCTGGTCTTCACTACGCCACGTAAGCCCTAGCAGTCATTAGGGTTGGGCCTGGTCATCCAGCCCACCTCAAATGATCGTTGGCCCAGCGCTGGGGTCTCTCTATAAATACCCTCTTCCACAAGAGGGTCAGGTAACACACTTCTTACCCTCTCTTTGTACTTCGCTCTCACTCTGCCCAACTCCTTACTTTGGCATCGGAGTGTTTTGCAGGTACACCCCCCCCCTCTTTCTTCCTCAACATCGGTGAGTATGCAGCCGTCTAATAGAGTGTGGCCGGCCCGTGATCCCCTTCTGATCAGGTTAGATCAGTGGCGCCGTCTGTAGGAACAGAAACTTCCCCGTTACTCCGAGCAGAAAACCAAAGTTTCACCAATACACCACGATCATGGCTAGCCCACACCGCGACGGCACTCCGCACGACCTCGCGCTCAACGTCGGCACCAATGGAAGCAAGCAGATGGAAACGACGCGTCCGGCGGAAACCAATGAGAGGGACGGCCAAACTGCCTCGCCATCATCCGCAGAACGGCCCCTTCAGGCCGATCACCGGCCCCCAGGTCCACCGGCTTTCCAACCCGTCCCCATCCCGGCGGGAGCGGACCCGACGGTGGCCGCCCTCTTCGCGGCCATCAACCAGACGAACCAGCTGTTGGCCCAGCAAAACGCGAGAATTGGAGCATTGGAACGTATCGACCCTCCGAGGTACCCCCCGTGGGACGACCAGAACGGAGGCTCGAGGAGTCCCTCACCTCGACCCAGAAATCTCCGACCACGACTGGAGAGACACCGTGCGCAGGTAGCGCGAGAATGCACCAAGTCCCCAGCAAGACAAGTTCGCGGGAGGAACCAAA